AAAGCAGCGACTTCGACGAAGCGGCGGGGCAAAATGCGCTGATTCCGTGTCCATTTCCACTATGCGGGCGCTGATGGACTCCATCAAGAGGAAGGTTCGAGATTTCATTCGAACTGGAGAAATGTAACCATCTTATGCTGTAACTTTAAAGTTTTAATAAAAATACTGTAAAGCAACCATTAATGATGATCGAAGTGTGCTCAGCTTCTGCAAGGACGTGAAAAATTTCCAAGTGTCAAATTTCAGGCTTAATTTTTTCTGTCATTGATTGTTTCATCGCGTTTTAGCCCGAAACAATGTGCAACTCGATAACCTAGTTCTAGAAAAGAACTTTAGTGCAAAGCAAATGCAAGAGATCGGTTAAAATGCATTTCAAAGTGTTTTTTTTTATCAGAATCCTTTTCGTCCAGAACTGTTATTAGGCGGTTGGCAAGCTGGCCCGATGATTCTGATTGGATTGGAGGCGGATTGTGCAAGAGTTTCTATGAAGATCCGACGGAATGGTCAGTCTTCCAAGTTTTTACTACACGGGAAAACCATCTTTCATTTGGTTAGTTACCTGTTTCGAGTAATATGAAATTTAATGCAACAAAAATTTAGCAGAAAAAACAATAAATAGAAGAGTTAGGGTACGCAGAATAAGTTATTTTGGACATATCAGAAGAAGAGAGATGAATCATCCACTCCAATTAGCATATAGTTTCAAATTCAACAAGAAAAAAGAGGGTAGAGCAAGCCTAACTTGGAGGAAATCATTTAAATCAGGACTTTGATAAATATGAAGAACTTGATATAGAAGAATGGAAAGAACTAGCTAAGGACAAAGAAAAATTGAAAAATTAAGTGGATGAAATTTATAAGAATGAAGATAGGGGAAAAGTTGGCTTCGGCAACACCTTAACCTATTATCGTCAGGGGGGTAAACAACGTCCTTGAGAGCTCATTTTTGGCATGTGGATACATTGTGTTTCAGAGCAACTATTGGCCAAATTTGAGTGCTTTGTTTACCCCCCTGACGATAATAGGTTAAGGTATTGCCGAAGCCAACTTCTACCCTAGCGAAATTTCAGAGGAAGAAGGTCAAGGGTTTTTGAACAAGTGTGAGTGTGCGAGTAGGTGTGAGTTATTCAAAGCATGTTTCTGGACTACATATGATATGGGTGATAAAACAGAATGGTGAAAGTTGGTGTTCGCTGATTCAAAGAATGGATGGGATAAACATTGAGGTGTCAGTAGTTGGGCGTTTTTGAACTTGTGGTACTTGCACAACATCTTGTATGAGTATCCAAGTATCTAAATAGTCACAGTAGCTTTGAATGTGGGTTCAGAGTACGACAATGTCACTGAGACACAATATGGTAACTTGGGTATTCGGATAAAACTATTACTTATAATTAAAAAAAAGCTAATTCTGGTTGTATCTCTTTTGACGTAGGACTACGTCTTTGCTTTCTATATGCGGGTACACTTTGTGAAAACCGAAAATGGAACATGTAACAAATTAAGAAAGATTTTGAACGTTAATAACTCAGCTGCCCTTGGTCCAATTTCAATAATTTTAGCATCAATCGATCATAAATATGGCTACGCATCGATAACAATGCTTCCGAATGTTGATTTTCAACAAGAAACTATTGAAAAACTGGTAAATGTTCAGCAATGTCCAAAAGCGTTGAATTAACTAACAAATCCACCAATTACCTACATGCATATGCTGCTTCCCCAGCACAGTCGTCAGAGCGTAGTTAGTAGACAAACAAGTCGAAGTGGCATTCGCCTCCGATCCTCGGGCGCGTGCGAATAGGGAGGATGGAATTGCGTAATAGTTTGCACACTCATCGCCATTTTCAGAACCAAACGCAAATTCTTCGAAGTAACTACCATCCGTCGTCTGGCTCGCCGTGGCGGTGTCTGACGTATCTCCGGTCTGATCTACGAGGTGTGCTGAAGGTGTTCCTGAAAAATGAGATCCCTGATGCTGTCAGCTACACTAAACACGCCAAACGTAAGCGGCCATGGATGTCATCTACGTTTTGAAGTGACAGAGACGCACTCTGTTTGGTTTCGGAGGTTAAATCATCACCAACTTTGGCAACAAAACGGCTCTTTTCAGGGCCACCAAGCTTATTGCAGTAAAGAGTAGGAATAGAATTCATCTGCCTGTTTGTCCATATTCAGAACCAACGACCACACAAAATGCTCATGTAATCAAACTGGAAGCAGGGGTACAAATTATTTTGATCAACCTTGATCAACTTTCGATCGAAGAAGTAACAATCTAGCATCTAATTCGACGAAGACGGCAGGAAACATTTGTGAAGCCGAGTTATTTACGAAGAGATTGTCGATGAAGAGAATCGATCAATGTAGATAGGACCTATTGAAAAGTGACGCGAGATTTGTTTTCCGTACTGAGCTCCAATGCTACCGACGCCAGGGAGGCAGCTCCCACACCTGGACCCTACCAATCGACCCATCAACTCAACCGGGGACCGACGGCTTTACTTCCCGAAGGAAGGCGTGATCATCAGCCTCATTTTTAAGTCATTATAAGAACTTGAAAGTTCCGGTACCATAATTGAAGAGCATTCTAAGCAGCCTCTGGCGGAACTTGAACGGAACTTTTAGAAAATAAATTAAAAGAGGTTTTTGTCCTCTGTGTCAAACGAATATCCGGTCTGATCTACGAGGTGTGCTTAAGGTGTTCCTGGAAATTGAGGTCCGTGATGCTGTCACCTACACTAAACACGCCAAGCGTAAGTGGCCATGGATGTCCTCTTCAATAAAACGGCCCTTTTCAGGGCCATCAAGCTTACATCAGTAAAGAGTTGGAATAGAATTTATCTGTGCATGTTTGTCCATATTCAGAAACACAAGCCCCCAACGACCACACAAAATGCTCTCCAGAGTTGTAATCTTGTAACCAAACTTGGAAGCAGGGGTGCAAGTGATTTTGATTGATTCTCTTAATCAACTTTCTCTTTGAAAAAATTACTACAAATTTGGTACGCCTACAATCCAAAAACAGAAAGAGTTGAGATAATAGATAATTGATCAATTAAAAGAACTAAATGCTCTTCACATTTATTCCGTCCACTAGCGGTCCTACGTCAAGCTTCCGTTCATGCCCCTAACCACAGGCCCTTCTACTTTTTTCAGTTTTTACAGAAGGGAAGATAGAACGGCCTTTTATTCCATTTGTCTCTTTTTAGAAAGCGAGTAATGGCGCTATAAGTATAAGCCATATAGGGCTAAGACAAGAGTTAGTGCTCATGTTCTAACCACTCGAGGAAAACGGAGCATCATTTAACTCCCTACGACCAATCATTTATAGATGACAATACAACGGAACGGACGGTACGAGATGTCCACGTTTCATCCATTTATTGGATTTTGAAGCATCGTGTTTACATTTTTGATTTAAACAGGCCCGATGTTTTTGAATCATCTTGCCCCTTAAATGCTGCACAGGAGGCCTGGTCGTTATGATATATTTTGCCCATCTCTGATGTACAACATATACCAAATAGACAAGAAAAAGGATGCAGGTCAAGGGGTAGGTCACTCCGCACACCAATCTTGGGTCAACTTTTTTCTCAGTGTACTGCTGGTGTGCCGATTGTGCCAGCAGTGCCGGGCATAGAGCAAGCCGCGATTTTTCAATAAATACGAATAGTATGGTATATTTGGCAACCCAGTATTTCTGGAAACTTGAATGTTTAGGTTTACAATCGCAACGGCCCCTAAAATTTTGAATATCGTGCTCGATAAGGATAAAACGCCTCTACGCCAGCTGGAAGGAACCAGAGTTTTCCCATAATGATTCGCTGCAGAAGGTGGATTTTATTCTGACGGCGGTCGGCGTAGACGAGGAAACCATCTACAGCAAATCAACCTCGTTGAAGACCTGGCTGCTGGGATACGAGCTGATCGATACGATTACGGTGCTGTGACCAGCAAGAAGAAGGTCGATTTCCTGAAGCAGATCGAGAATGACGGTAAGGATGGCATTCCGTCGGTGAAGCTGTCGAAAAGAACGACAAAGACAAGGCCAATTTTGAAAAGCTGCTGGAGGCGATTAAGGGATCCAAGGATGGCAAAACGTTGGGTGTCTTCTCCAAGAACAATTTCCCGGGTGAATTCTGTGAATCGTGGTGAGCTTTCATCAAGAACAAGAGCTTCGAAACGGTGGACATCAGCATCGCAATCGCGTACATCATGCCCTCCAAGGAGGACTTCGAGGTTATCACCATCAGACGGTAGCCGTATTCAACACGTACCTCAAGGATCACATCTTGGAGATTATGGATGCCGGTGTGGATACCAACTAGTTACCCGGCGATTATCCAGTCGGGTGGAAATTATAGCTTAAAGTTCAGTGCATTCAGCGACAAGAACTATCTGCACTTTGGATCTATCATCTGTGCTCTGGGTGCGCGTTACAAGTCCTACTACTCCAATGTCGTCTGGAAGAGGAACTGCTGAAGGTGATGATTCCGGGCAAGAAGCTCTCGGAGGTTTTCCACGTCGGAATTGTTTATAACTAGAAGAAGAATCTCAATCTAAGACGTTCGGTCTTACCATCGGGTTGGAGTTCCGGGAGAATTCGATCGTAGTTCCTCAACAAGTGAAATTCAGTATAAACATTCTGAGTTAATTAGGTTGAGTGGAAGCAATACAAATTCCGTGTGATTTTACCGTGAAAATTAGTTCGGTATTGTTCGAATGAGTTTGGTTTGGTAGACGACCTATTGACCGACTACTTTTCACGGCACAATCACACGGAATTTTTAATGCTTCCATTCAACCTTATTAACTTTTATTTTTGTTACAAAAATCGAATTTTCCATTTATTTCATCTCGTGTAAGATGACACATATCCAAAAATAAAATTACTCTTTTACTGAATTCAAATTTAAACCGAAATCTCATTTCAAATTTACATACGTCGCATCGGTGTAAAGGCCAGTGTTGTTACTGGCTAATCAAGAACTCCTGGTTCAACTACTAGGGGCAACGATGTATATGCTTTGATGGTGATGAGCTTTCATCACCATCAAAGCATATACATCGTTGCCCCAGTAGTTGGACCAGGAGTTCTTGATTAGCCAGTAATCTTCTCTTTTGAGTTTTCCGTATACAACCGCCACCACTGCATGATCCAATCCATCCAAATTGCTCATGCATTCCGGTTCGTAGTACACTCCATTTGCGTTGTGGCTGAAAGTCTTGTGACCAGCATTGATAGCAATCAACAGCCCTCGGAAGCCTACATTTCGAATTTAAATGGGAAACGAGAAGTGAATTGCTTGTCTGAGTTTATCTAGTATATTCGATTAGAGTATGTTTCTGAAATACACAGTCAAACAACACGTAATGTTGTGAACAACTTCAATGACAGCTGTCCAGCAGTGCTCCCATTTTATTTAATGAACAATCCAATGCCTACGAGATTGTGCCCAAGCTATGCCGAATCTACTTTCTGCACACTGTGCTGAGTGACTTACCCCTTGATGGAGGTATATCTATCATTTTCCAGGATGCTTTCATGAACTGGCTGTGTTGGTGTTAGATTGGATTAGATTAGAAGAACTATAAAGCAACCTCTAATGGACATTTTAAACTTGTTTAATCACGAATTACAGGTATTTTTGTGCGTACCAATTTACTTCTAGTCAGCCTTTATTTCAAACAGACACCGGGACAACAATTTTACTTGGCTACGGCTTGGGGAGAAAACTCCCAATATACTTGCAGGTCCTCCTCAAGAATTGTCCATTGCCTATAGCTGTATGAAGTAACAAGGCAAACTTCGCATGATCGGCCTTGATGTTGTTTTTCTTGGATTTCTTTCGGTGTTTATGATCGGAAGAGAGCTACGGTGGGCATTGCTGTCAGTAAGTCTAAACACGTTTGCCGTTGCGTATGTAGCCTAGTGGACCAGTTTTTTTTGCAGTGTAGAGTGATGCAATGGTCGTTGTTTACAGTCTGAGAAGGACTAGGGGATGCAAGTGCAGGCCTAGCGAGGCGCAGGGTCCGTGGGAGAAATTGACAAGCTAAGATTAGATCGCGTGTTAGCATATGTGTATCCAGAACATCGGCATTTTTCGACAAACGAACTAAACCTCGATTAAGTCTGCGGATCATTGACCAATTAATCGACAATAACAATCAGCTGAAAAATAAGTTCATACATCATATAAATGAGATTTCTCAATCCACCTGCCAACCATTATACAGCATTCACAGAAACCGGCCACTTTATTACATCTCCGGTCGGTCCTAAGCGACTCCCCTGCCTCGTTCAAAACCCGTCCATTATTCTCATTAGTCCACAAGTATAATTGCCCCGTATGTTGAACTGATGGAAATCGTGCAGCATGTTTCGCACATGTTGTTCTGATTTCGGTGGTCAACTCCCTCTCATCATGAATAGTCATATAATTACAGTTGCGAAACGTGCTACTCTCAATTTGATCAATGTAATCCGACTAATTAATCAAATTATGCAAAGCAATCCAATCCAACCGGACGGAATGAGTTCGCGGAATGTTTACGTTAGAAGTACAAATTCCACCATCCAATCAGGCAGCCAGCCAGGACCCCCACGCATGATATTGCGCATAGATCTCATCGAACTGGTCTACTGAACTGGCAGGCCTCGAACCTCGGAGGTGTCGTTCGTTCGATTAATCATATTTTTCAGTTTATGCTCAGTGACACTGAAGTCGAAGAACTGGATCACCGCAGCCATGGCGATCGATATGCTGGAGGTCGTCCGACGAGCGACCACCGACGGACGTCGTGAGAAATTCATGTACGCTTTGCACGGTCGCACCGCCGTTAATTGCCAATGATTTACAAGCGGTTCCGTGCGGGCGAGCAAACAAACTGAAATTGCCGATATCGGAAAGCGGAGCAGTTAATTGTGCAATACCGTTTTGGGGAGTTTGCGTGCATGTATTTGGAATGTGTGCTTATGATGCGTTACATGTCTTTCTTGAACGGGTGCAACATTGTAGCGGTTGTGTCTGTGTGTGGGCCCACCTCAAGGAGATAATGGGTCTTGAGCGAAAGTGTGACTCAACTGATGAGACGTTCGAGTTTATGATCTACAAGAAGCACGGTTCGCAGTGGAGCAGGAAGCTAATATGCATACAGTTTTAATTGTATAGAATTAGCATGAGGCATTATTAACTAACGATCTGTGAGCTGTATGGTGTGTGCACAGCGTGGCAGTTTAGAGAGCCTGCAATGTATCAAGAATGGTTTTGAAATATGAGCTGCATAGCTTAATGAGACATGGCAGTTTCTACCTGCCCTTTACTAAAGCACGTTCGCATTTGCTAATTAATTTTAGCATTCTTACACCGTCGACCTGAGAAGTCAATTCTCCAAATTCAACTTATAATCCAAAAAGTATCGCCTTTTTCACCCAGACCATTATTTCACTATGATTAACTTCAGCGTTCAATGGGAATTAGACAAATAAATCGCAAACACACGTTCTGCAAGGAGATTAGACGTCTGTCCGGATTTGATCTGCAGACAAACCTACCAGTAGGTAGTTGATAATTGAAGTAAATTGCAATGACACTGGACATAAGCAAGCCCGACACAAGTTGTTTTTCAACCGATATTTAGCGTAATAAATCTTACGCTCTGGAAATAAACAACTAAGGCCCCGCCACCTAAGACTCGATGGGTAAGCAAAATCCGCAAACACGTTTGTTGATTGAATAATAATAATTTGCAAAACAACAAACATATCAACACGTTTTGCTGGTGCATTCCGTTGACTTATTTTTTTTTTGCGAGTTAACGTTTGTTTTATTCGCTCGAGCAAAAATGCAATCGTCCATTTGGAAGGCTGTTGCCATCTATGCCATGGTTTGATCGCTATCGCCCCTTCCAACCACGGTGTGGTGGATCAAAAATAAGTCGTCGCGTCAATCGCCATCATCGGGCTTTTGTTTTCCAAGAATTGCACAAAGTAGGCCTGCTCTGTTTTGCTTGCGAACGAAGGCAATGCAAACTCTGTTGGCTAGAGGTGTTTGCTGTACTTAACTCAAGAGACCGCTTAGTACCGGCAGCCTGCTTGAAGGCGTGTTTTGAGGCTTTCCAAGAGATTAAGTATGATCGATGTGTGCCTTTTACCATAAGAGCTTCCAGGTTGCAGCCGAATGAATGAATGACTTAATGTGGATTTACAATGGAGAAACCTGCAGCATGCTCCCTACACTGCTTTCCGAAGTCCTCCTTTCTACCGTGCAAATCCGCTAATTTGAACGGTACTTTATTCATTAATATAAACAGGTAGGGATAGAGCACAACACAAAGCACAGTCGAGGAAATACATACGGGACATTTCCATTGGTGTAGCTGGAAAATTAATCTGAAGAAGACCCGGAGGGGGGCGGGCTGTTGCATTTTTTTATTTTGCTAAACTGCGGTTAAATAAAAACTTGAGAAGATGCTTGCTATTCAATCAAATTGCGTCAATGTAACTTGTTTTGGGTAGCTTTTTTCTGTGAACAAGAATATGGCATTGAGGCTTACTATTATCTTAATGGTGAAACAATAAATTTGATTATTTTTATTGCATAAGATCGATTGAGACCTCGATTGTGGTAGCCTTCACAGTTTACTGATTTTGAACAAGCAATGATCGTTTGTTCATGCTTTTTGTAATGAAATCACACAGAAAATTTGCAGAATTAGGTTATTCCATGAATTTTGAAACAAGCTTTTTTTAGATTTTAAATATATCATCATCAGTTGATCTCAGACATAGGAACCAAAATTAAATTCTATGAGTTTGAGTTTAATAATTTTCTAATATTCTGGCTTTGAAACTTGGTAAAGTGCACACAGAATAAATTTCATACATTTAGGACTTAGGAAAATTTTAAAGATATATGTCTATGCACAATTCTTAACATTCTAAATGTTAAAATAAAAATATTTTTGAGATCCCAAGCTCACATGATTTCAATTGCTATGATCCTACGACCTATGACTTCCTAGACATTTAAGATAATACATAATCAACAATAGTACGTCACAATACTCGGTTTGCGACTGCCACTATCCATCCTCGGTCATGCCCAATGCTCGCTAGATCACGCTCTACCTGGTCCGCCCATCGTGCTCTCTGCGCTCCACGCCCTCTTGTGCCAACCGGATCAGTAGCGAATACCAACTTTGCAGGGTTTTTGTCCGGCATTCTTGCAGCATGCCCTGCCCACTGCATCCTTCCGGCTTTGGCCACCTTCTGGATGCTTGGTTCGCCGTAGAGTGCAGCGAGCTAGTGGTTCATTCTTCGTCGCCACTCACCGTTCTCCTGCACACCGCCGAAGATCGTCCTTAGCACACGTCGCTCGAAAACTCCGAGTGCTTGCAGGTCCTCGTCGAGCATAGTCCATGTCTCGTGTCCATAAGCGTTCTGTACATGGTACATTTGGTGCGGGGGTGAATCTTTTTTGACAGTAGTTTCTTCTGGAGCCCGTAGTAGGCACGACTTCCACTGATGATGCGCCTTCGTGTTTCACGACTCCCATTGTTGTCAGCCGTCATTAAGGATCCAAGGTAAACAAATTCCTCAACTACCTCGAAAGTATCCCCGTCTATCGTGACATTACTTCCTAGACGAATCCTGTCATGTTCGGTTCCGCCTACTAGCATGTACTTTGTTTTTGACGCACTCACCACCAGTCCGACCTTTGCTGCTTCGTGTTTCAGGTGGGTGTATAGTTCTGCCACCGTTCCAAATGTTCTTGCGATAATGTCCATTTCGTCCGCAAAGCACACAAATTGACCGGATTTCGTGAAAATTGTACCCCGGCTGTTGAGCCCGGCTCGTCACATTACACCTTCTAGAGCGATGTTGAAGAGTAGGCATGAGAGTCCGTCACCTTGTCGCAGTCCCCGGCGAGATTCGAATGAACTGGATAGTTCACCCGAAACCCTTACACAGTTTTGCACACCGTCCATCGTTGCTTTGATCAGTCTGATCAGCTTCCCAGGAAAGCCGTTCTCGTTCATGATTTTCCATAGCTCTGTGCGGTCGATACTGTCGTATGCCACCTTAAAGTCGATGAACAAATGATGCGTTGGGACCTGGTAATCACGGCATTTCTGGAGGATTTACCGTACGGTGAAGATCTGGTCCGTTGTTGATCGGCCGTCGCTGAAGCCGGCTTGATAACTTCCTACGAACTCGGTCATTTTAGGCGGCATTCAAAATGGTGATCTTCTGAAGTTCTCACATTCCAAATGGTCACCTTACTTGTGAATGGGGCAGATTACCCCCTCCTTCCACTCCTCCGGTAGCTGTTCTGTTTCCCAGATCCTGACTATCATCCGATGCAGGCAGGTGGCCAACTTTTCTGGGCCCATCTTGATGAGTTCGGCTACGATACCATCCTTACCAGCTGCTTTGTTGTTTTTGAGCTGCTGAATGGCGTCCTTAACTTCCCTCAGCGTGGGAGTTGGGTCAGTTCTGTCCTCTGCTGCACTGACGTAGTCGTTTCCTCCATTGCGCTGGTCTCCCGTGCCTACGTCCTCCTCGCCATTCAGGTGCGCCTCGAAGTGCTGCCCGTCCTTATCCTTGCACATTTCAGCTTGCAGCACGAAGCCGTTGCGGGATGCGTTGAGCTTCTGGTAGAACTTCCGTGTTTCTTGGGTGGCGTTTTTTTCTCCCGAAAGATGCGGGTATGCTGTTTCCGCTTCTGTGTATACCGTTCCACGTTCTGTCGGGTTCCATGCTGCAGCATTATCACCCGCGCTGCGTTCTTCTCCTCCGAAATCGCTCTGCACTCCTCGTCGAACCATTCAATCCGTCGACTTCTTTCCACGTACCCGATGGTGCTCTCGGCTGCGTCGGTGATGGCTGCTTTTACTGTACTCTCCAGTAGTCCTCTAGAGGGGGCATATCGAGGTCGCCCTCCTCTGGCAACGCTGCCTCGAGATTCTGCGCGTATGCTAAGGCGACATCTGGTTGCTTCAGTCGCTCTAGGTTGTACCTTGGCGAGCGTCGGTACCGTACATTGTTGATGACGGAAAGTTTTGGGCGCAGTTTGACCATCACCAGGTAGTGGTCAGAGTCGATGTTAGCGCCACGATAGGTCCTGACGTCGATAATGTCGGAGAAGTGCCGTCCATCAATCAGAACGTGGTCGATTTGCGATTCCGTCTGCTGTGGTGATCTCCAGGTGTAACGATAAGGGAGGTTGTGTTGGAAAAAGGTGCTACGTATGGCCATGTTCTTGGAGGCGGCGAAATCGATTAGTCGTATGCCGTTCCCGTTCGTCAGCTGGTGGCCGCTGAACTTTCCAATCGTCGGTCTGAATTCCTCCTCCTGGCCTACCTGAGCGTTTAGGTCTCCTATGATGATCTTGACGTCGTGGCTTGGGCAGCGATCGTACTCGCGTTCGAGCTGCGCGTAAAATGCGTCCTTGTCATCATCAGTGCTTCCGGAGTGAGGGCTGTGCACGTTGATTATGCTAAAGTTGAAGAATCGGCCCTTGATCCTCAACCTGCACATTCTTTCGTCGATCGGCCACCAACCGATCACGCGCTTCTACATTTCGCCCATCACGATGAAAGCTGTGCCCAGCTCGCGTGTGTTGCCGCAACTCTGGTAGATGCAGGGTGGCCAGACCTACCGATTTTCGGGATGCCTACGGATTTACAGACGAAAGGTTAAAAACTACCGATTTTTCACTTTTCCTACCGAGAATCACAGATTTTTAGTAAAATGAAAAATGTTCAATAGGGGAAATGCCGGCTCCGGCAATACCTTAACCTATTATCGTCAGGGGGTGAACAAAATCCTAGAGCACTGAAATTTGGCCAATAGATGCTCTGAAACACAATGTATCCACATGCCAAAATTGAACTCTCCAGGACGTTGTTTACCCAACTGACGATAATAGAATAAGGTATTACAGAAGCCGTCATTTGCCCTACCTATGTTTTATTTTCCGTGTAGTCAGAATTAGCATTTTGAGTTAGAAAAATTGATTTTGACACGTTTAAAGCAGAAGAACTGAAGGAGAGTCTCCCCGCTCTCAAAGGTTTCAAGTATTGAGAAACCCTTTTTAAGACGGCCTACCGATAACTACCGATAAAAGTTTTGAGAAGTTACCGATAATGAAAAAAATAATCTGGCCACCCTGGGTAGATGGTATGATTACCTCTAAACGTTCGCACCATGGTTCCTGTCCAACACACCTCCTGCAGCGCTGCGATGCCGAATCCGCGGTCCTTCAGTAGATTGGCGAGTATTCGGGTGCTCCCGATGAAATTAAGAGATCGACAGTTCCACGTGCCGAGTTTCCAATCGCAAGTCCTATTTCGTTGCTGGGGTCGTTGCCGTTGGTCTAGGTTCGCATTCCTCTGTTGCTGATTTTCCGTTGTAATGCTTTTTTTACGGCTGGCTCGCAGGGTCTGACACCAACCTCCTAACTTTCTGGAGGACCAGGGTGCACAGTTGTGCTTAGAGTCCTTCACTGGCACTCGGACGTAGATCAGCCGCCCCTAACATGGGGACCAGACGCTGTTGTGAGCCGCTCCTCCTGGAGAACAGACGCTCAGGCTTGCCGAAGCAAACCCCCCCCCCTCCCTTCCCTGTCAGCCTATGACCAAAGTTCCCACCGGGGTTGGTTACCCGATCTTCCCTAAGGTTGCTCACAGTTCCCGGCCGGTACCACGGGTAGGTAGGCATAGGAGTTGCAGGGAAGAGGCTAGTGATCTCAATGGGATCGATACCCAAGTAACCATCAAGCCCACCAATCGCCCTTTTTGCAATATAAAGCTAATATACGGCTGATAAAAAGTATGGAAGCCCTATATTAACCTTATATTGCACAAAGGGCGATTATCGGGCTATTGCTATTAGCGGTCTTGGTGGTTACTTGGGTATTGAACATTACCCAGCATTTACCGACCAAAAAAAAAATTATAGTACATGAATATTATAAACAATTTCTATAATGATAATATATTTAATCTAATCAAAAGTTTCATAAAACCTCTTCACAATAAATATGCCCGAAAAAAGTGCAACGAAATTTTGTTCAAAATAAATTTTAAGCATTAAAAAAAAGTTTTGATATCGTAGGCTTCGACAAGTTTTGAATCTCCTGGACTTAAAAATTCTTTATTCAATATCTTGGTAACCTTACCTAGATTCTAAGGGGCTGTCCATAAACTACGTAGACAATTTTGGGGGGGGGGGTTGACAATTATCCACGGCCCATACAAATTTTAATTTTTTGACGTAGGACTACGTCTTTGATTTCTATATGCGGGTACACTTTGTGAAAACCGAAAATGGAACATGTAACAAATTAAGAAAGATTTTGAACGTTAATAACTCAGCTGCCCTTGGTCCAATTTCAATAATTTTAGCATCAATCGATCATAAATATGGCTACGCATCGATAACAATGCTTCCGAATGTTGATTTTCAACAAGAAACTATTGAAAAACTGGTAAATGTCCAGCAATGTCCAAAAGCGTTGAATTAACTAACAAATCCACCAATTACCTACATGCATATGCTGCTTCCCCAGCACAGTCGTCAGAGAGTAGTTAGTAGACGAACAAGTCGAAGTGGCATTCGCCTCCGATCCTCGGGCGCGTGCGAATAGGGAGGATGGAATTGCGTAATATTTTTCACACTCATCGCCATTTTCAGAACCAAACGCAAATTCTTCGAAGTAACTACCATCCGTCGTCTGGCTCGCCGTGGCGGTGTCTGACGTATCTCCGGTTTGATTTACGAGGTGTGCTGAAGGTGTTCCTGAAAAATGAGATCCGTGATGCTGTCACCTACAGTAAACACGCCAAGCGTAAGCGGCCACGGATGTCATTTACGTTTTTAAGTGACAGAGAAGCACTCTGTTTAGTTTAGGAGGTTAAATCATAGAAGCAACTCTAAGACTAGTAGGTCCCGAAGAAACGACCTCTACTTTTTGGCTCAGCTCTGGTACTATCTTCGGTCCCAAGCTAATCGATTAACCCCTCGAAACATAAGAAATTCCACTAACCCCTCATTTTATCTGTCAAACTTTCATAGCGAATCAAAACAAACATTGTGTAGTACTAGAATTTTGACTAGAATGGGGTACGTTAATCGATTTGCTTGGGACCAATAGGCTAGTCAAGTAGTGAGCCAATTTAAAATCGATAGTTTCATATTGATTGTTGGTTAAATCATCACCAACTTTGGCAACAAAACGGCTCTTTTCAGGGCCACCAAGCTTATTACAGTAAAGAGTAGGAATAGAATTCATCTGCCTGTTTGTCCATATTCAGAACCAACGACCACACAAAATGCTCATGTAATCAAACTGGAAGCAGGGGTGCACATTATTTTGATCAACTTTGAATCGTCACGGTTGGATATTTTCGATGGAAGAAGCAACGATCTAGCATCTAATTCGACGAAGACGGCAGGAAGCATTTGAGAAGCCGAGTTATTTACGAAAAAGGAGTGTCGATCAATGTAGATAGGACCTTTTAGAAAAGTGACGCGTGATTTGTTTTCTGTACTGACTGTAGAGGTGGGCAAAATGGTTCACAGAAGTGAGCACCTCTGAACCGTTCCGCTCATTACAGTGAGCTAGTTCTCCTGAACCGTTCATTTGCTCACTTTCTAAAACTTTTATATGTCACCAACTGTAATGTCAATGCCGCATTAGATGTTATTAGAAATAAATGAGGGTTTTTTACTTTTAATACAAGATTTATTTAATAAAGAAAAGAAAAACAAGTAACATTTCAGCCAGCTTTAGGTATGATTAACATTCATAAACATAATTTGCGAAATATTTTTCGCCGTCAGCCTACTGCGCCTATCACAAATTAGCTGTCCTGCTTTGGAAAAGATCCGTTCACATCGCACCGATGTCGCAGGAATACATAGTCTTTTTACCATCCTCTGGTAAAGTTTCGGATAGACCTGTTTCCTAGATTCCCACCAAACTAGAGGATCACCTGATCTGGGCAAACATGACTCAGTCAAGAATTTATCCAATTCAATTACGCTTGCAACTTTAGTATCCTGTTCTGTGTGCAATTTGCTGATTGTGTGATCGAACTGTTCCCAAATGGATGATTTAGCAACAGAAGGTTGTGGCTCGGCCTGTTCAATTTCATCCATTGCTCCAATATTCTGCCGCATTTTGTCCACAATATCTTGGTACGCCGTGTTGAAGTTACCCTCATCTGCGAAACCTTGCTTCTTAAAACGGGGATCGAGAAGGGTGGCCTGGGCTACTAATTTATTCGATTCTCTGTCTTTGAACCGCTTAATAAGGCCATCAGTTAGCTCATCTACCAGCATCTTGACACACCGCGGGAGGTAGTCATTTGCAAGTAATTTGATTTGCTCATTCATAATTCGGGCCAGCACCGAGCTTTAAGAAAGCGAAACTGATTTTTCCGCTGAAATCTCGACCGTAGAGACCGAGAACCGAGACCGAGAATTTTTACGCTTTGCCGAATTATGTCCTAGTCATTACTCTCCAACGTACATCGTATTGAGTCCAGAAGTGCCAGAGTAGAAATTACAGCTTCTTTGTTAAGTAACATGCGTTCTAACATATCGTATGAGGAGTTCCACCGGGTCGGGACATCCTGCTTGAGTTTAGAAACCTTTTTGCCGAGTTTA